CATGTGGGGTCAAGTATACCCAGCCCCATAACACTCAGCTGCCACCCAAGTCCCCAGCTGCACATAGTGTCAGGATGCAGGTCCAACCCCACCCAGCCCCATAGCACTCCCACCCCAGTCCCCAGCCGCATGTGATGGCAGCATATGGGCCTAGCCCCACCTGTCCCCATAGTGCACAGCTCCTGCGCTCTCGTCCGAGTTCCCAGGTGCACATGATGGCAGGGTACAGGGCCAGCCTCACCTGGCCCCATAGCGTGCAGCTCCCCACACTCCCACCCACTTTCCCCCAACAGGAATCCCTGACCCTGGGCCAGCAGGGCCCTTACCTGAATATCCAGTCTCACAGACAGGGAAACTGGAAACAGCCACAGGGTCACCAGGCAAATCTCTGCCAGAGGGAGGCTTCTTGTCTCTGGCACCCCTGGCTTGGGGCTAGCGGGGCAGCAGGCCAAACTTGGGGTTGTGGGGCAGGGGGGGTAATTGCTTACCATCCAGTGCTGCATGGAGGTGCTGGCTTGCAGAGGGGCAGCCCAGGGCCAGGGCTTACAGAGGATTTACAGAAGGGCCCCGTGGAACAGATGGAATTGCTTGGTGGGCCAGATGCATCCTGTGGGGTGTATTTTGCCCACTCCTGCACTAGACACTCTGGCTATGCCCTTCCAGTTTCTGAGGTGGTGACCAAACCAGGTATGTCAGCCAGGTACAAGTCAAGACACTTTCTTTTCAAATAGAATCCCAGATGCCCAATTAGTGCAGCTTTTCTTTCCCTTTTGCACTATGATTTATGCTGAAGAGATGTTACTAGTAGCTGAAGATCTGTTTCTATATTTGATTCTTTTTAGTGATAGTGAACTATGGTGTTAAAACAACAGTATTTTTTTAAGGAGTTTTACCCTAACAAAGTACTTTTTAAATGTTTCTTTTTTTCCCTTCTGGTTCCATGCCTTGTGTTCAGTCTCTTTCCTTCAAGTCCCATACCATCTGTCCTCCCCTGCCTGGACAGCCTCTCATTAAATCACATTCTGTAGCTCTAACAACAAGCTTGCAGCTTCCCCAGTAGTTGGAAGCATGCCTAAATTTTCACTGTTTTGATCAAGATCCACATCTTAGCAATGTTCAGAATACACTTGTATAAGAGTCTAGCAAAGTTCTGCTTTGTTAAATATATGTCTTTGAAATGGGTCTGACACTTGGCATCATGCTATCATAGCTAATGTTTTCTGAATGAATCTTGCATATAGTCCATTGATCCTTTCAGTCTAACTAACAGGATTCTATCCATGATTGAGCAGTGTCAGTACTTGCTCTACATTTGCAACCATGACAGCTCAACTTAAATATCCTCGTTCAGTTTGTTTGTGAGCTGTAATTGAGTAAATTAGGGTGGAGCCACAAAAGGT